ATTTATGCCTAATGGAGGATTTACAGCCTTCAGAGCTGCCTGGTAGCACTAAGAATTACAGCTCTGCCTTTATCCTCCTGCAGCACAAGAGGGGAGATGAATCGAAGTCCTCCTCACACCAGCTCCTCTGCCAGAACCACTAAGGGCTCAGCTCCAGAGGAAGGAGAAAAAAGAAGAAAAAAAAAAAAAAAAGGATTCTCCTATAAATAAGAGAATACCATACAAATACAGGAAGGTTTATCCGTAGTGATTTGAGCAGCCTTCCCAGAAACTACTCTGAAACAGTCATCCCAAAAGCCCTTCAAGTCTCCGTAGCCCCTGCAAGCTCTCCTTGTGTATCCAACAGAGCTCTGTTTGGGTTCTAGTTCCCATTTTCAGAGGGTTACATACCATCATCTTGATAGGGAACAGAGCAAGCCTTAAGACTGCAAGCTTTCGTCAAGGGGGATTCAACCGCAGTATACTGGCCAATTTCCAGGCCAGGTAATTACACCCCCACGACCCCAGGTTCCCCTGCAGCCCACACACTGCCCCAGCAGCTCAGCAGCCCCACGGCACAGAGCTGGGAGCTCCCACGTGCTGCCCCACAGGAGCTATTTCAGAAGGAGGTGGAAGCAAGCCCTGCACCCACATAAGCAGCAGGGAGGCTAGATTCAGAGTCAGAAACAGGCACGTGGGGTATGCCAGGATTTACACCACTGCTACCCTGCTGGCTCCAGCAACCTCACGATCACTGTAAGGAGATGGCAGAGCAGGCAGCAACACGCTCTGACAACCCAGAGTCTGCACCGTGCAGACAGGCCCCTCCAGTATTTGACTAGTACCAACAGAAGAGGCTGCAGAAGGACAACATGAGATCCCGCTGGTAGCTTATTTAAGCAATCATTTAAAATAATGAAAGCAACGTTCCCCATGAGCACACCGCATTACTCCCACAGAAGCAGTCCCTAGAAATAGGAGCGCTAACTGCTGTGTGTCACGCTTACTGGATGGGGAAGATTACCAGCAAGTCCTACACAAAGCAATGGGTGCAGATGCTCCTCTTCCCTAGGGAGTCCTTCTGTGCTTAATAGTGCTGCATTCTTTACCTTTTTAAAGAGTACTTTTTCCCTTGGACACAGAGCTAGGAGGAGTATGTTATGAAAGCTGCATTTGAGCAGCTGATAGAGCTTTAATTTTCTGTTAACTATAGTGCAATAGTATCAATAAGCAGGATGAGAATTCAAGCAACCACTCAAAAGAAAATTCTCAAACTTAGGAAGTCAGTAGTATTTAGGGCTTTTTTGTCGTTTAAATCATAAAATGGTCCAGAGCCATAAATCCCTCCTCACCGAAAAGCCAAGATCTAAAGTCAGAGGATGTGGGAGAAAAGAATATTGTGGCACGGCTCTTGCTGTTTGCCACAGCAAGTTTGTAGCATTGACTCCCTAATTCGTCAGGATGAGAACCCCGGAGCAACACTAAATGTCATTTTCAGACAGTGACAAGAGCAAGTTCTGAGCCGATACAGCTCAGCTGCAGCTGCCATCAGCTGAGACCCTGAGCCGGGAAGCATGCACACATGCAAAGAGCAGCATGGTTACACTGCATGAAAGCAAGAAAAAAACCTGCCCACAGAGAAATCCTAGAGTAAGATTTAACTGCAGTCAAGGCAGCTACAATCAATTTTAACACTGTCAAACTCAGCAAGTTTCCAAAGGATTAAATCACTACGTAAATCATCTTCATAATTTTAAAAAATGCCTGTAAGATAAGACCAGGCGCTAATTGTACCATTTAAATTTAGTGAAGGAAAGGTTTTTTGTTGGGATTTTTTCCTTCTTAACTGCAATAAAGAGGAAGCCCAAGGGTCTAAAACTAATAATCTAATAAACTTTGCTAAGTGAACATTGTAACAGATAGGCCTGGATGAGATTTTCAGTAAATGCCAGACAATTTCCCTTGATCTTTATCAACAGAGATGCAGCTCTAGCTCCAGCAGGAAGAAATTAAATTTAGTGCAAAATAATAACATCTGGGTGAGATTTTGTTTGTCAGACTAGCAGTCCCTTTAGATACCAGGCTAAAAATATTAAAATGAACTCTGAAGGGTTTTACGTTTGTGTTTTTAATATGAGTGGCTGGGATAGGTTTCCATACCAACATATTACTCAGCTCTAGATAGCGGTGCAATTACCCATCCTCAGCGCAGGATGATCCCCCACAGACACTGGGGTCCAATGCTCCACAAGACGCGCCAAGAGCTTTCTCCCCACCAGAGCACAGCCAGGAGAGGTGGCACAGCTTGGAGCTATCCCATTCTTTGGGATGCATCCCCAATCCTGAAGTCACAGGATATGCACAGGTCTGTCCCAAATGTCAAGCAGAACCACCACCTGGGAGCAAGACACTCAAGGGATGTTTAAGGGCCCCAGGGGCTCACAAATGCCTCTTTCTTGAGTGCTCCAGCATCCCCCCATTGCTGAAAACAGCCCTGCACAGTCCAAGACAGCATGCAACCCCTGCTGGGCAAGAACAAAAGGAAGTTTTCTAGCCTGCAACCAGGTGTTCTTGACACCCACCTTGGTAAAGGGGGAGAAAGCAAAGAGCACATGGGCAGAAGTCTGTCACGTCCTACCGCATTGCCAGGTCCCTTAGCAATGTCCTAAGACCCATCCCATGCCATGAGCAGTGCCACGAAACATGAAATCTGACTGCCATACGTTGGGTCCAGAATATTTCTAAAGCTGAAACAGCCTCTGGCACAGCTGTCAAAGTACAAACAAGCAGCAAAAGATTCACCTATAAAAAAAAGAAAGCATTCTACAGACTTCAAGCCTCTACATTTAGAAGACGAAAGTACGCAATTGTAAGAGCCCAATGAATAGTCCCTTTCCAAATCCAAAACATTTGATACGATGTAATTGAAGTGAGCACAAGGGTTACAATTAAAAATTCTTCTTCTACAGTGGAATTACAAAATGTATTTTTATTAGTCATGATCTTCTTATTAGCAGAAGCGGTCAGAAATTCTTCAACTAAATGCTTTTCCCCAACCCCAGCAAAAAGAATGGCAATTCAGCAAAACAAGGCTTTTCAGATTAACATCAGCTTCAAAGCCCCTGCACAGGGACAGGACTTTCATGGCCAGGAATCACAGTAAATAATAATAAAAACCAAAGCAAGGAATTCAGCTCTTTTAAAAAGAAGCAGAAAGTTCAGAGGAACAGCACAACCTATATAACAGAGTATCATTCTTACACACAAAAAAAGCCTCAAAATTTGCAATGTATGTCAAGTGGTAGAGGAGGGGGTAGAGGCTTTCTATTCTAGACAACTTACCCCCTATTTCCGAAACTAGTCTACATTTCCAGTGTCTAGGAAACCAACCTCTCATTAGTTTTACCCCATCCTGTTTAGCAGAATTGAAATTTAATAGTCATTACGTTAAGAAGAACTGAAAAAAAAATGCTGTTACCTCCTCAGCAATTTATTTGATCTTATGTTGAAAGAAACACAACACAACAGACTCCACCAGTCAGGCATGGACCAGAACAGAGCTTTGCCATGATGCCACAGACTTAGCAGCCTCTGGGTCTTGCTGTTGGTGAGGTATGAATAAAAATAAGTCAGATTATCCTACAAAAACATCAGCATGAAGGAAAAAAACACTTGATTGCTTGTGTCTTTTTTTAAATATAAGTAAAAATGCTATTAATATAGAGTGACGGAATCCCAATAGGAGGGCACTCAACAAACAAGCAATCATTTTACTGCACATTAACCATGGGTGGAATAAGTTTTGCTTGAGTAAAGGCCACAAAAATGATTACAGATTTAAGTAATACAAACTGGCATGTATCCAGAATAGAAAATACTTGTTAAAGGTCAGTTTTGCTAAAAAGACAATACATCACCTTGCTGTTAGGAGAAGAGAGGTGCTACTATACAACATGGCATGAGGTTACCAAGTGCTTAAACAGCCCATGTCAAACACAACAAACCACACTTGTGAACATGGCAATCTCTTCCCCTTCACATGGAATAACCTTTTTTTTTTTTTTGTGGCAGAGACCAATTAAGAAATACACAGTTTAGATGCTTACCAGGCATTACAGTGGAGTTAGAACCAGATGACATTACTGCAACATGGTAGAATCTGCAACTGCCAGAATCCTGCAAGATGGTACTTGCACAGATTGTTTAATTCTTCTAGAAGTGTGTTTCCATTTATTTTTAAGTTTGCACACAAAGTGGCTTGGTCTTCAGTTTTACACTTGCTGTTTCAACTACAGGAATATTTAGGACAAGCTCTGTAGAGCTGCCATACACCAAAACAGGTGTATTATTTATTGATAAAGGCAAGCTCTTTCATGTGCAGCAATGCCCACACCACAGCTTTGTCTTTTCAGAGGGGAAGGGGGTGGGTATACCTACACGGGACAGTCCTCCAGCAGCGCTGCCACTGCCCCTCTAGAGCAGCCCCTAGCAGAGAGAGAACCCAAACATCTCTCTCGTGGTGAAAGCACTCCAAAACCACACTGTGAGCGGTTTTACCTCTGCCTGGAGGATGTGGCTCAGGATACAGGACAGAGGAAACAGGCAGCACGCACAAACCTTGGGGAAGGTGGAAGAGGAGCGTAGGACATGCTCCCAATAAGTCAATGGACTGCAACCAAGAGCAAAGGCTTTCACAGGCAGTAGCTTTGGCTCTGGGCTAGTGCTCAGCCACATGCCTGGGGATCCAAGCAGGCACAGGCAAGAAGGGCACTGGAACAAACCTCAGGCAGCACAGAACCAAAATATAAATCTGTTTCCTTATAAGATGAGAAAGGCAAATTATTCCTGAAGATGAGGAAGAGATCTACTTTTTTAACGTATAAGTATACATAATATAGATACAAAAAATAAAAATGAAGGGAAGACTTTCAGCCACGTGGGCTTCTGATTGCCAAGTGCTCAGGAAGAGGAGCAGAACTGCCTTCTCCTTCTGCACGTCTGGACCACCCCCAAGCACTCACCTTGGAAGACGGCAGCATTCTGGATGACAAGGAACTTCAGCTCCATGCTGGCAGACTGCAGGAGCTGCTCCATGTTCAGACGGGCTGCTGCCTGGTACTTCTCTTCCATCTTCCTCGAGCAGCACGTGGAGCCCTTTGGGATACATACTTGCAGATCTGATCCTAGAGACACAAACAAGTGTAAAAAACTTGCATGAGGAGGTAGAATTGTTGCCAGCATAGAGGAAACCTACTCCATGCAGTGGTATCACTGCAATTACTGTTTGGGCAAACTGATGACATTTCTGGAATTTGTCCTGAGCAAGCAGCTCAGCCAAAGGAGAGGACTGATAAGAGAGAGCCAGGATTGCTGAGCAATAGCTCCCGAGAGCTCGCTACACACACATGCCAACACGATGCTTGCTTTAGCTCCCATGTTCTATATCCCCAGGTGTGCTGGTGCTGAGCCGAGCAATACAGAGCATTGCCCTGCTGCCTCCCATGTGCCCGGTAGTGCGTTGGCAAGGAGCTGCAGGCAGCCAGAAGAGATGGTGTGGTAGATGGAAAAAGGGACCAGGGTTTGAAGCTGATTACAATGAATAAAGCAATACATGTAGCCCAACATACAGACTGTGCTTGCAATTTGCAGAGACTTTAACCAGCTAGCTGAAGACAAGTAACTGTATTATTTCCCTTTGATCTCCATCCTTTTGCATGTACAGCACTACTAGTAACAATAGGGAGCCACAAGAATAATGATTTGCTTTGCTTTTTTTAGTACAGACTTTTAACGTGTATGCAGCTGAGTCCTCTCACCAGTTTCCCTATCCAATCCTTCCTCCACTGCAAAATGCAAAGCCCAAGGCTCACCGCTTCACTTTTCCCAGTCCCGTTGCAGAGGGACAGACCCCGAGGCACACGCTGAGCCCTGAAACAGGCAGATGTGCAACTGCACGGCCATATGGGCAGCTCCTCTGTCCAGCCACCAGCACTGAACCTTCAAGAGGACCTTCGCTTGCTCTTGCATCTCAAGCTGTGCCTCAAGGCACTGGTCAGCAGTGTTAAACCTTAGTTTTTGACATTCCCAAAAGCCTTCCCAAAGCTGTCACTCCTGGAGGTAGGAAGAAAGATTAGCTTACGTTTCAGGAAGAGTTGCTGCCTAATAGGGCATAAATAACATCTAGGGAAAAAAAAATAATCATCCTTTTGGTTCAGACACCAAGAGAAGATGAAGCAGGTGAGCTGTCAGAGCAGCAACAAAAAGTCACGTTCTCAATCAACTTTCAGTAGTAAACTGTGGTCCTGCAAACACAAACAGGGCAGCAAGCACTTATCAGAGCAAATAGCCTTCATCGTGCAAAAACACATTTAATTTGATGATGCTATTATAAAGCCAGACAGTAAGCAACAGCACCATTAAAACACCAAGACACAACTATCTAGGGCCAGATAGCAGCAAGAACCTTTCATTTCACAGTCATTGCCATCTAATTGTAGCATGCTCCAGGCATATCAGAGCAGCTCCCCATTAGGCTCAGCACTGACCAAAAATGGGGTTAGGAAACCATCCCCAAACCAAGTGACAGACAGCCCAGATGGGACTGAATGCTCCATGCACACCTCAGCTCTTGCTCTGTCCTCCCCATTGCTACAGATTTTCTTCCTTAATAGAAGGCAGTTGAGCAAGTTCAGCAATTTACATCTTTGCTCTGGGAGGATTATGCATCCTTCCAGGTTTCCTTCTCCTTCCTACCTTAAGAGTCTTTTACCACATTCTCTCTAATTACTATAAAGTGTCAAAAGTCACTTTTCTAAGTGTACTTTAGAAGAACAGGATTAATATTAATGTCAGTTCAATCGTGTACCTCCTGAAGAAGAGTCATGCACAGTGCCAAGGGAAAACCAGCTGTCAGGGCTCACAGCAGAAACCCTCCTCCCTCTAGCCCCCATTCCTTCCTGTAACACAATCTAGTGGGGGGAAGAGAAAAAAGAAAAAAAAAAAAAAGGAAAAAACACACAAAACTCTTCATCTGGAACACGCATTTCACATGTGGAAAGGAGCTTACAAGGACCAACACAAGTCCAGCAGCTGCTGCAAAACAGTGCGTGGCAAAGGGGCAAAAGGATGCTGTAACCACACTGGGAGCCTCAACACCATCCCTACCACTGCCTCAGTTACCCCTTCTGCAAAATGGGGCACACAGCATGAATTTCTTGATAAAGCCCTTGCACAGAGACAGTGCTGCAGACATCCATAGAGCAACTCTCATCGGTTTGAGCTAACCTGCTCAAAAGGAGCATGGTGACAGGTATTTCCCACACTGAAAAAATAACAGCCCATAAAATCATGTGGCAGCAAGACACTGCATTAATGAAAGAAGTGGTTATATAACAGCAAGTTAAAGAGGTATTTTAAAACCAAATCTGAGTTAATTTACACCACAAAAAGGCTTAACATGGTTCCTTTAACACTACAATACAGCCATGAATTTCTTGTTAATATGAAGCTTATTTCCTCCTACATTTATTATATTAGGACACATTTCAATTTTTTTAAAAAAAGCTTTCCATGATTAATGGAAATACCAATATAGAAAATCAGAGTTGGCAATTAAGAGATCTGTGCAAGCGAGAGCCAGGGATAGGAAGCAGCAAGGTCACCTACTCATCTCCCATCCTTCTTTTTAGCAATTAAGCCAATTTCTCCCCTTAAATGGATTTTTATTTTTGTGAAGTAAGTAAAAAGACAGGCACATGCTGTAGCAGAGCAATCACGGAGGAGGAGGAAAGAGCTCAGGAATTAACTCTGACAGCTTAAAATGTTTTACAGAGATAGCCAACTAACACCGCTGACCAGAAACGTCACAGTAAAAGCAACAGGTCAATACAGGCAGGACAGGCTCCTATTAGCCACGAGGGACAAGGTCCCTTTCGGTGCAAAGCACTGCTACGGAAGGCCCAAGAAGGGGGCCAGGCTCCATCCACCACCTGTTTCTGTATACAGCTTTCCTAGACACAAAGCAGACCAACAGCCCTGTTTGTAAGCCCCAACAGCATGGATGGGAACCTCTGATGCCCAGGAGCCACCAGCACAGCCTCTGACCCCAGCTGAGACATCAGTGGAATGGGAACATTTTTGACCTCGGGTAGGCTTGGGTTTCATTCACGCTGCTGCTTGGAGGAGCCTTTTCTGCCCTTGTGCTGCTGCAGCACCACCCAAGAGCCCCAGGTCCCACATCCCACCTGCTGGAGCTGAGACCCCGCACGCTCCTGAAGCGCAGCACTGGGGTCCACACCGAGCCTCTGACACCTGGAAGCTTACTGCAAGCTTGAGAATCAGACTCTGGCATTAATTAAACTGTCCCACATTTCTGGCTCCATAAAGGCAATGGAAAAGATCCTGCAAGTCATCAAATCCTACCCCTGCCTCCCAATCCACCCCCTCCAGCACTTTATCTAACTCAAACACCCTCTGTGATAGCTCTGACTTGCGATAGCTGAGCCCATTCCACTGCTTAATGGCCCTTACTGTTAAGATTGTTTTTATCTCCCAACCTACACACACCCCTTTTTCTTTAAGTTTCAAGCCATTACACCTCATAATTCCAGACTCAGCCCTTGCAAATGACCTCCTCTGTTTGCTATAGATCATTGCAATTTCATTTTTGGAAAGAAAACACCTCACGAGTTACTCCAACACTTAAAAAATTGCATCTGGACGCCCACATACCAGTCTTCACAAGCCCGGTGACACTGATGCAATGCTACGCCCAGGAGCCCAAGCCTCTGCAATACAGCTGCCGTGGGTGAGACGAGCAGGATGCGGCCCCTTCCACGGGCACAGCACGGACACGAGGCACTGTGACAGCACCGTACCATTTATGCCATCTTGGGGAGCAGCAGTGTAAGTGCTCCGGTAATTTTGCATACATTCCGAGCTGACAGAACTGAGCTCTCTACCGCAGCAGAGATTTCAGGAGCACCCTGAATCTCCCCCCTGCTTCTGGGGCAGGGAGTTTTAGCCAAGGAACGGGCAGTGGTGAATTTCAAGCATTTAACTGCAGGCCAAAGTCAAATGATTCCCACAGATAGGTGGTTAGCACAGCATAAGTGAAAAATAATTTCAGTGAATTACATGTCAAAAAAAGCACAGAGATCATCCACAGGCAGCTTCAAGCTCCTTACTGCGGCTGAGGGATTGTATTTTGATTTTAAGCAGCCCAGGATAGCTCCGGCTCTGTCACCAGATACCAGCAGACAAGCCGTGCAATTCCCTGGGGCGCACCAACCTACCAGATCCAACAGAAGCTTAAATCAGATCAACATTCCCACAAAACATATCCCAGGCATTGCCAAAATAAGAACATGTCCCTGGTTAACATTACATTACTGCAGCCTGCCCGCACGATGGGAGGGGTGCTGCCACTCACGTTCTGCAGGCTGGAAACATCGGAGGGCTTCATCCCACCCCTGTGTTCATACTGCCCATAGGAAAGCTGCTGCTTTCGGACAGTTTTCTTTCCCTAATTGTTTCACAACCAGCAGCATGTTTTAAACAGATGAAAGTAGCAATTCAATCTTTAAATACAGTGGATTTTCCCCCAGCTGTTTCAAGACTTTTTGTTAATTATTATTAAAAACTTTCTTTTAAGTTATGTCACTTTGTAATCAAGCATCTGTCACTAGTTTTGAATGCTCATCGTTGAGGAGAGAAGGAAATGTGGCTGTTCAGAACCCAGGTTAAGTGCTGATCCTTTTAAAACCCAATTAAAGAGATATAAATTATAAAACAACCTTGCTCAATAGGTGATTAAAGTTGGAACAGTACGGGCACTACATGGGATATTTATTACTACTTGATTATCCTTTATCTTCTGCTCCATCTTGCCTTTCACGACTGGATTCTTTCCGAAGCCTTGCAAAGTTGGCCAGAAAACTGCAACGCAAATATAACTGCTCCGTAACACCGTGTCATTTAAAAGAGGTCATAAAGAAAAGAGAGAGCTTTTGCCATGTAAGAGTTTCCTCCCAACAGATGTAAAAATGTATCAACAACGCGCCTCAAAAACATGGCGTTAATTGGTGGACAGCCACTCATCATCCACATTTATTACAGTCACATGCAGACATGCTACAGCCATTCCAAAGGCTCTGAAGAACACTATTCAGGATGTTATAATTAACCCCTGGAAAAAAAAAAATAATGATCTCACTATAAAATCACTGCCTGAGGAGGTTACTAAATTTTAGGGTTCTGCTCCTGCTCTCTTAACTATCAAGAGAGCAACTTGCAGGCCTGAAATAATTAGGAACAGAAAACTCAATTATCTAGTAACCTCAGATCTTAAACTACCACACTAAGCTGAACAGAAAGGCTGCACGGGGAGGAGGACCATTAGTCCCACTCCGGAAAAGCAGAATGGAAGAGGAGTACAAAGGGAGGCAGCTCACAAGCAAAGCTACGCTGCAGCCAACCGGGAGAGCTGGGATTTGTATTTTTCAGATTAAAAAATACCTTGGCACAAAACAGCTGCCAAAAAGAAGGAAAAAAGAAGAAAGGGCTCTGCACACATAGTGTGCAGGGGGCATTATCCTCTTAAGGGAGGAAGTAACCCACTTGCACCAGTCTGGTTATCCAGGGTGTCATCAGGAACACAAAGCAATCTGAACAGCAAATATGAGAGAAGAAACAGACCAGGAAAAAAAGGAAATTCAAATTATTATTTCTACATGAGAAATTATGCAGGAAAAGACAAAAGGAAGAAGAAAACAAAGACAGGCAGCGTAAGAAAAGAGAATTTAGCTATTATTGAGTGTGAACAGCCGAGGCGGCTATCCCGGCACAGAACCACACGCTGGCTCACGGGCTGGCATTAAGTCTCAACTGCAGAAAAGCCTATAAAAAGCACTCTCCCGTCACCCTGCCTTCACTGCCCTCCAGCATAAGATGCCTCACAGAGCTTGAGCCGAGCTGCTGGCATGAAATACATCCTCCCACCCCTCCAAGGAGCCAGCCACAGCTGACAGACATCGGGTCCTGCTGCCCCCTGCCACCATGCAGGCACACCAAAGCGTGGTCCGGAGCTGCAAAACCCTGGACCGCTGGCTGCGGTAGCAGAGGAGACCAAGTCCCTGCTCACTGCCTAATGCGTGCCTCCAGCTAGCATTTCTCCCGTAGCATTAGTTCCAGTCATGAAACAGCACGACACTTCCCTTGATTTTTTTTCCTTAAATTAGGAGTACCAAGCTGACACAGCTGGGCTCCCCTATGAGAGCGCTGTGCCGATATCCCCCCAGCCCATACACCGCTGATCCAGTAAAATGAAGCCCTGTGACATTTCTCCTGCATGCACTGCAACTCTGCAATGTTTCCTAGACTTACACCTTCAGCCACAACTGCTCATAATGCAATACGTGGATACTAGCAGTCATGCTTTTCTGTTTGTGTTAAGAGATAAAACAAACCCACATTTAAAATAAGTTGGTTAAACGCTCAGTTTCTCCAGGCTAATATGATCTATAGGCAAAGGTTCCCAGAATCGATTCCGTGGTGATTTGTGACTGGGAACTCCAGAACTTTTTTTAATTGACAGATGTATGAAAGAAATAAAGCACTAAACTGAAGCCTGGAAAATAGTTCTTGAGTGATGCTCCCCTATTACTGAGATTTATGCAGCTGCTACTAGGAGAAGCGAGTGCTCTGAAGTGTAATTACTACACAGAGTCATGCAAGACGGGCCAGACCCAAGGTATAAGCAAGCAGTCATTGCTTTAATTATGATCAAGTTTATGTACTTAAGCAAATGTAAAATCCACTTTCAATTTGAAATGTGGGAACTTTATCATCGTAACAAGCTGGAGGCATTCACTCGCAACACCCACCCTGCAAGGGGACACGGAACTGGCTACCCACGGGCTCTACAAAGAGGCAAGGGGGCTCCTTTCTCCTCCCAAAAACTGGGGCAGCAGCTGGGGCTCCTGGGCAGCCTGAGCCATGCTGGAGAAGCAGGAGGCTCAGGCTAAGGCACAGCCCCAGCAACCCCGTGGCAAAGCCTGCAGCAACCCCATGGGAGCATCCCCGGCTGCCACCCCTGGCGCCTCGCCCTGTGAAACCACACTCAGGTTATCTAGGGATCAAAGCAGGCATTTCACTGCTTCCACAGGAGCAGGGAAAAACACTCCTTTAATTACAGGCAACAGAGAGTGTCATTTTAATGGCAATAAGAGGAGCCCTGTCCCCACCCTGCAGCCGCCTCATCGAGGTTATTTGCAGCGCTGCCTCCCTCCTGGCTGAACGAGGTCCTGCGGGATGCAGAGAGGAGACGCTGCTCCTGCTCCCAAGGGAGAAGTACGGAAAGCATCCAAACCGTGGGAAGGGGGCACGAGGATAGAGGGACGAGGGTACTGAGAGGTACGTCTAAACCCTCCGTGCAGCTGTAAGGAAGCCGAGGTATCACTATGGACAGCAGGGCTGGGGACGGGCACCCACAGTGCCACCCCACAGCTCCCTTCACCCCCCACGCTGCAGCAGGGGCTCTCGCACGTCGGGGCTGCGCAGCACCACCGCATGCAAGGATGCTCTTGCGTGGCTAGAAAGAGCAGCCGGTGCTGGCGGTGATTCCACCGCACTTCCCCTGCCTCTTACCTCTTCCTTCGCACACTCCGATCCCCAGCTCCTCGGGCAGGCACACTCCGCTGCACAGCGAGCCGAGCCCGGCAGCGATCCGGCACCGCGACTATCGCGACCCTCCCGCCCCGTACGCGCAACCCTGGGGATGCTGACAGCCGCCGGTCACCAAAAACGCTGAGAATTCAGGATTTTCGCTCACATCTCCGAGCAGGAGCGAGGCACGGTTGCCAGCAGCCCCGCAGGTGATGCAGGCACGCAGCCAGCACCCGCACGGCGCCCGGGGGAGCTCAGCACCGCGCTGACGGCTCGCCCCCGAGGGGGCTCCGCGCATCCCCCCGGCACGACCCGACCCGACCCGGGCTGGGAGGCAGCACCCACCCGCCCCGTCCAGCCCGGAGGCTGTACGACCCCAGGAAGGGCGCAGCGTGCACCACGGATCCGGGACACCACGGGCAGCGGGTGGGGGCACCTCACCTGGCACGGGGCTCTCGGGCACCCACTTGGCTCCGGGCTGCAGCACCTGGAAGGCGGCGCGCACCGGGCGGCACGAGGCATCCCCCGCCGCCTGTGCGACCCCCAGCGCACCGAGCAGCAGCAGCAGCAGCACCGAGAGCACCGCTCGGCTTCTGCCCGACATCGTCCCGGGGCTGGCAGGGGCTGGCAGGGGCTGGCACACCCGCACACGCCGCCGGCCGCCCCGCCGGGACCGGGCTGCAGCGCGGCGGGGCAGCGCGGAGCGGAGCTCAGCCCCGCGCGCCTTCGCGCGGCGCCCCGCCAGCGCCAACCGCGGCCCCGCCCCCGCCGCGCTCCCATTGGCTCCCTCCCCGCCGGGCCCCGCGCTCATTGGCTCCTCCGCTCCGCTCCTGGCGGGAGTCGCCCCGCGCGTGCGGCGCCGCCCCGGAGCTCATTGGCCCCGCCGCGCCCCGCACCTGCCCCGCGGGGCTCGGGCACCGCGCCCTGGGTGCAGGGGGGCGCTGAGGGTGACCCCAGCCCCCAGCACCGCCTGCAAGGGGCTCTCAGTGGGACCGGAGGCAGCAGCTCGTGAACGGAGAAGCGAGCAGTGGGAAGCAGCGCTTCGTTTGCACAAAGCAGAAAGAGTTTGTGCAGGTTGCGGCCGTGCTGCTCGCCCCCAGCTGCAAATTAAAGCGAGGAGCGAGCAAGCAGCAAAACAAATCCCTTTAAAATTTGCAGCGCGGATACGGGATCAAATTATTGCTAATAGCTCGCCACCGGCGCTTTTTCACTCTGAAGTTTTGAAGAGGGATGAAAAATGAAAGTCCGGCCCGAGTGTTTGTTCTGAGAAAATGCCTGCCAGGGAGAGATTGTTAAAATATATTATGGATATGAGGCTAATAAGCTGGAATGTGCAACGTGTCTCGTTGCTTAATGGATTGCCTGAGCCTGTTGCTGTCCACAGACTGCGCTATTTATTACAGGTTTATTGTGGCTGGTAAGCACGTCTGACAAAACTCCAGTTAGCCAGGCAGCACAAAGCCCTGCTTTGCAGGAGCTCTGAGGGACCCAGAAATTTTATTTTGCTCCCAGGAGCAGGTGCTCCCTGGTGCAAATCATGCCTGATTTCAGCAGAGCAACACATGTGTGCATGCCTGCTGACACAGGTGAGGATTTATCCCCCACATGTTCTCATTTCTCCAGATCCTTTGAATGAAATACCACCATGCCAGTGATGCTTCACAAGAGCTGTGCTGCTCTGGATAGTTAACACTTCTTTTCTGGGTCTTCTCCGTTGACTCACTGATGGATTTGCAATGTTTATGCAACAGCCTGGGTTTCGGGTACAGCATTGCTTTGGGTTAGGAATCAATTAGACTGAAATGCAAAACACAAAGGCTGGTATTTGAAGCACTCCTTTATACGCGCTCTTGCAATCTATATTATGTTTATGGGCCGAGGAACAGTTGTCTAAAAGGCATTCAAGCATATCCTGTATTCATCTTCAAACCTGCTGTGCGTATTTCATTTAAGTACAGCAGGCTTTTACTGTTCCAGGTAAGTACACAGATATTGTCAAGCACGCCATTATAGCAAAGAATTATATACAGTGCCAAACAGGCGGCATTTAGTATCTCTGCTAAGACTAGGGAGTGCTTTGAGATTTCAAGCCAAATTAGAAAACATCATTACTGCTCTTTACTGGATCTGGCTTCACAGTGGGATCTGTCATTACCTTGACAATGACTCCCTGCAAAAATAAAGTTTATTTATCAACAAGGAGGTATATCAGAAGGGAGTTAAAGCTTGTGGAAATGTACAACAAATCCTAGTGGCAGCTTTCTTTCAATGTCTGTTTTAGGTTATACCCAAAGTTTGCCAACAGAAGAAAAAATCTCAAAGTGTAACTGAAGTTATTCTCCAATGGAGCAAGTGATTTTCACTCATTTTCTGCAGTTTTCACTCTGTCATTACTGACTTTCCTTGGGGTTAATAATCCCAAGAATGCAGCTGGACGGGAGTGAATCCCATTCCGTCCATGGACCCAAAATATTACCGTGCTCTGTGTCCCCGAGCCCAAAGGACACCCCACACCCCTCCAGAGGCATTCCTCAGCAGCCGATTGCAGACGCTTCCCCCACCACAAGCACTGCAATGGCCCAGAGAAAGTCCAGAGCTGTTCCCTGAGTGCTGCACAACCGTGGGACTTGTCCTTCCAACATGTAAGGGTTTGTCCTGGAGGAGAAAGCGAGTGACTTGCTCCAAGATCAGAAGCAAAGTCACTGGGTGAGTTGGCTGCCAGCAGACGTAGTAAGAGCCAAGTCGTTGTCTCACATCCAGGATGATAATTTCCCTTGTTACAACTGCTCACACCATAAAAATTTCACTTAATCATCTACCTGCCTCAAGCCTGTAAGTAATGAGAGGCAGGATCATGTGTAGCTGATTTTATCAAATGCTCTTACGAAGCTCTCCACTGGGAAAACTCTGAATCAATTAAAACACCAAGGAGAGATGTAGGAGAGGGATCCGTACTCCCCAGCAGATGCTCGCCAGGTTATCAGTGCACTTCCCTCACTCTTCCCCTGCCAAAGGGATGAACGAGCTCCAGCCCCATGGCAGCACAGCTGCCTAAGCCTTGCCTACAGCAGAGGAAACCACTGTGGGGCAGGAGAGAAAAGAAGAACCTGTAGCACCTGTTGGCACATCTCCGTGTTTTTGGCACATGGGCACGCTGTGGCTGGGTTTTCTCACCTCTGCTGCGATCCCCTTGTGCTGACTCTGGCCCAGCTGCCTCGCTTGAGATCTTGAATGCCCTGTTGAAACTAAGAGCTGCAGGCACTGGCGGCTTCTCTCTGGTAAAATAACCCTTTCCATCTTATTCTGCACCCCGCAGAAGCTGCATTTTCAGGGGTCCATAACCATTTGTGGAGGAGGAGAAGGGAGAAGCTCTTTGCGATATAGCAGTACTCACGCATTGTTTGATGGAAAAAAGAAAAGTGCATTTGCCACGGGGCATGGGGAAGAATGATGGATTGCCAGGCAGCAAACATCCCTCCCCTCTTTGACAGGATATCATATTCCTTGTACCATACAGCTCTGCTGATAGATCCGTAAAGCATTAGCCTTTCCCTCACCCCAAAAAGCAGCGGCTGATAAATCACAAGCCCGGTGGGTTTGTTGGGAGCAGATCACACAGCAGAAGCAGCGAAGCCTTCAGAGAGATGCATCACTTGAAGACACCGCCGATGCCAATAGAGCTGTACATCAGGAGTGCCCAGACGAATCACTTTACCTGTCCAGAAAAATGAAATTCTTTGGAGCTGGAACTTCTTTCCAGTATGTACCAGTTTCAGTCACACACGCCTCAGAAATGCCTGCCAGAGCCATGGAAAATCTCTGTCTTCAGTCCTGGGAGTCTCCCTTATTTAGAAAGAGTTTGAAAAGTCTTCTCTCCTACTGCAGGACAGAAAACTTTCTGAAACTGCAGGAGATTTTATGGGAAAAGATCCCAGCCAAAGCCAGACCTTTTCACACCAGCTCTTTACCATGGATAATGCACAGGCTTTGCAGGGGGCAGCTAGATTTACAGCTAACCTTCCAGTTATCTAAGAATTTTGCATCCTTTGTAAAATTAAAAATGCACAGGCACGGCAAATGTGGCTTAAAAGCCATCTCTTCTCCAGCTCTCCCAGGGCTGAGCACAAGAAATCACTTGAGACACAGCCCTACAGAGGGAATGAAAGCAGATGAGATGGGAGAAAACTATTTCACCATGCACTGCTGCCTCTGCTGGGAACACAGGGCAGACACCTCTCAAGCTGATATTTTCATTTATCATCTCCCAGTGATTAGTCAACTGAAGAGATGCCGCCAGGAGACGGCACAGAAGGGATCAGCCCAGAGCATTCACCTATGAAAATAAAGCACTGCCAACAATTCCCAGCCCAGGGCTGTCACGTCAGGGGCAGCCTGCTCACCGGGGGAGCTGGGCTGCAAAATTAGAGGGCACCGCTCTGCACCAGCCCTGCTGGCAGCTTTGGGACAGGCGTGGGAGGCCCTCTGGATTTAATTCCAGCAAGAAGCTGCACTCCTGATTCCCTGCTTCAGCACAGGCTTAATAGCAAGATCTGCAGGCACCTGAAGCAACAGGCGATGCGACGGACAGTCCTGTTGCACCACTGCACGGCATTGTACAACAAGTCCCTCTGCACAACATGGAGAGCACACGCTTCGAGCTGGGATTTACAGCAGAACCAACAGACGTTATATTGGATATATAAATTGCTCCCACTCAGAAGGAGGCCACAATGTATTCAGGTGCCTTTCCAGGAACGCTTTTTTCCTATGCAGAGGCACCGCAGTAAAACCTGATTTATGCCTTATTAAATTATTTTAATGCTCAATATTGTATGCAAAAATTCTGTGAAGAGATATATTAGAGGAGTATTTCTTCAAGGCTCATGCAGAGCCTGTCTCTGACCACATGTTAATGAGGTATCAGAAGTATTGGGGGTGTAAGAGCAAGTGGGTGACTTTTACACCCGGTAACTCAGGAAATTTTAGGGATGCAGCAGTCCTGTCCCTCACTGACATAGCTCAGGGATCATTTACTGGAGCCAGCAGATCAGCACAAGGGAAGGACAGCCCTGCCCCACACCACCAGCAGCTCCCTTCTGCTTTGTCTTTGCTCCAGCCCCACCAATTTTGGAGGTCCAATGCTTATCAGGGGCTTTTTGGCTGCTTCCATGGCCCAATCCTTCTAGAGGTGATGCTAGCAGCAGCCACATGTGAGCCCCGGTGTGCTCCTCCTGCCTGGCCAGACTGGGAGCTCAGTGCATGGGGCTTCTCATCGTTAGCATCCTCGCAAGCATCTGCGAGGACAGTAATAAATCTCAGAGGGCTTTGCTATTAAGATTGCATCCTTCTCACGCAAGCCAAATAATCTAATAAGACAAAGCAAGATTTAGCACTTGCCTGTTTGAAGGCATTTTCCAAACATCAACTAATTACCCTGCTGGACATTCAGACAGATTTCAGAGGAAGCTTCACCCTCTGTAGAGGAGGACAACAGAAGGGAGTTTTCTTTATAAAAGGAGCCTCACTAAACATCCACATTTGTCTTATTTCCCATCAGTTACAGTAATGGGCCAGCTTACATAGGAAGATATGTTTTGTTTTTAAATGCTAAAACATTTCTACACACAATGCGCACCTAAGTCAGGCCTCTCAAAGAGCTCTTTGAGGGTTGGGTTTCTTTCTATTATTGTCAGTAAACATTAAGCAGAAATTGAGAAGCAGCAAGTGGGAAGCA